GTGTTGTATGGCCCCAAGCCTCCCTGCCCTGGGACAACTCGGCCACCACAGAGTTGGGCTTAGGGTGGTGCAGCAAGAATGGAATATATTCCTCTCTGACCCGGTACATAGACTCGTACCGACGAGATGTCGCTTGCAGTTGTGTTGGTTGGTCCCAGGGCTGGACCATTGCCTGGCGGAGCATCATAATTAGAGGCAAGGCAATGGTTGCGGACTGTTCTCCCCGGACGATATCGTAAAATCAGTCGGTGCTGGGGCCGGGGCGATGGTAGGCCTCTATTTCCAGCGACTGAACCAGACGAGAAATGAGTTCCGAGAAAGAAACATGAGGCTCGTCTGGGGATCCAGGGTCTTGGGAGGTGATGGCCACATCCAGGGACGTGGAGTCTACTTCCGACTCATCCGAGTCCTGGTGGTAGCGGTAGTGTTCGCTAGAGGAGGAGGTCTCGGGAGAAGGCGGAGGTCTTCGTTCCGCATGGCTGGACGTGGACGGCACCTCTCTCGGGATCGACGGTGAATGACAGTCCCGAGGGTAATAGGCATAGGGTGGATAGCCACTCCAGTCGGGAAAACTGCCATAACCCGGCATAGGCCAGTCATCCCCCTGGCGTTCCGATGAGTGGCTCCTATGCCGAGGCGGTGACTGTGCTCTCTCAGGTGGCCCAGCAGTAGACATCTGAGTCGGAGAATGCTGTCCCAGTGGGGAATCTCTAATTTCTCCATCGGAGATGGACTCCTGAAGCGGTGGCTCCGGTGGGGGAGACACACTTTCAGGCTGAAGCACAGGTCTGGGGGATCCCGGCGGAGTCACCTACATTGCCAATTGCAGGGCCAATCCCGAGGGAGTCGGTACCATAGCGGCGGGCAGTACAGAGAACCCCGATGAACCCGAGTCCCGGTGCTTGGGGCGGTCGAGTTTCTTGCCCTTATGGGCCACCTTAGCACCTTGTCTTTCCTCGGCTTCTTATGCACGGAGGATTTGTCCGGTTCTGAGTGCTTACGCTTCTCCTTTTGCTTAGGTGGAGGAGAAGGTAGCTGTTGCACTTCTGTTGAAGCAGCGCCTTCATCCAAAGGACGCTGCGGTGGCGCAGCCGATGCAGATGTGGGGCGCTAAGAGGGCATGGCTGAAGCAGAGGTGGAGCGCTGCGGTGGTACAGCCAAGGAAAGGGTAGGCCTTGGGACCAACTGGTCTGATTGGAGCAAGGCCTGATCCCAAAGCAGCTTACGGAGATGATTCTCCCTATTTTTCCTGGCCTGTTTAGTAAAGGCCAGGCAATGCCCGCACTTGTTGGTCCTATGCCCCTCACCGAGGCAGAGGAGGCATAAGTCGTGCGGGTCAGCAGGAGACATTTTGGAGCCGCACTCACTGCACTTGCGGAATGCCGCCCGCTATGCCATCGCGAAAAAGAAGAAAGAGATGATAGTACAGAGGGTAAGAATAATATTTTTTGGGGGGGGGGTTAGATAGAAGAAAGAACTACAATGAGGAATTGGAGAAAGAACTGGGAATATAACGAGGAACAAGGTAAGTAGAAAAAAGGTATAACCGTAAGGAGCACAAGGCGAAAAATCTAGCAAGAGGCGTTAACAGGCATGAGGCACAGCGAACAGCGGTCGCAGAGACTGAGTAAAATGGTGGATGCTCCACTCTATTTATACTGTGGGGGGAGGGAGCGGAGCTTTTTCCCGCCAAAAACCGTTAGCTTTCTAATCTTCCGGCCTAGGCACTGCGCAGGCGCAGCACCCATATGTGTGATGCACAGAGGCCACGACAAAGAAATACTGTGTTCAAGTAAATGTGCCTTCTACTGGTTGCAAAGAGATGCTCTATGTGTGAAAGAATCAGGTGGAAGAAGGCACACACAAAGGTTCTGAGCTGTATATTATCCAAATAAGTCCTGAGCTGTTGCCCAGAGGATTTTATATTTCTACCCCACCCATCAGCCCAAAAGTCAAGAAAATGCTTTTTTACAGTAAACTTGAAGAGTTCAGCTTCATGATCATGGTGAAACTTCTCATGCTTAGATTACCAAGCATCTGGGAAATGTAAGGATTTTACATCCCTTGTAAGCTACGTTTGGGGTGTTTCACTAAATTATGTCCTAAAGTGGATGGGCAGGTCTTGCAACAAAACATTTCCATTGTTCTATCTTTTTTTGCTAAGTGGCACAATGAGATTAGTGCTTGATGCAGTTAAATTAGCTTTGGCTACTTGGCTTGAACAATATTGCCTTTGAATGTATTGTAAAACCATGATTCCTTCGAAGCACCTTTTCCATTCTGAATATATGTGCAAAAGTATCATCTAGAGAACAGAAAGCTCTTGTACAGCCAGATATGCTGTGTCAGTAACCTCCTTTTGAAGTCAGGGTACATTTGCTGCCCCTTCTTTTTATTGTCTTTTATAGTAAGCACTGTGTGAAAAAACAGGAAGGTATTACTTTGCTTTGGTTAATGTGTGACAAGAGAGAAAGGAAAACAGCTTCCCACCATTCTTGGCTTTATAAATGTAACAATGTATGAAGAGGAATTACTGTACAATAGATGAATTGGAGGGGTTTTTTTGAATGTTAAACTCCAATTTCACAGCTGAGTTGTCTGATGTACAAGTGAATTACCTGTCCTGCAGAGGTTGATCTTCCTTGTATTATGTCTGGAAACTTATCCTGGTTTTAAAATATCAATTCCAAGTCACGATCACATTTCAGGATGCATTTTTATTATTTGAAGAGGAACTATCTTGTTCTTTGGTATCTCATGCACATGGACTAAGATAGAAAGCCGTGTGGAAAATACTTGAATGGTTTTGGCATTTATTTGGAAGCACCCTCTCTACGTTAAGTCCTTCATCGAAATCCACCTTTGCTGCAAGCCCCTTTGTTTAGCCCTGTAGCCTTCTATCCTTCCAGAAAGTAAGTGGCATCTTTCTTCTCTGTTGACATTTAAGATGTAAGATCCTTAAGGCAGAGACCTGTGCTTCTTTAGGTTACATTTTGGAATGTGCCATGCACAACATACATGTTTTATTTAGTAACTATTGTTACTATCCTTCCAAAAATCTCATGCAAGTATTACAGTTGGAACCAAGTGGAACAACTGGATCACAAGTGGACAATTGGGGAAGTAATAAGAGGAATTACTGTAATATGGCAAATTTGAATTCAGATCTGAATTAATAGGTTTCACCTTCTTGTAGGATGGAGAATTAAAGAGCACAGCAGACTGGGTGGTATTACTTTGTTATAGGATCATTGCACTAATTTCCCATGCAAGCAAAACGATATAACAGAGAATTTTACTCGGCATGGAATGTGAAATGCCTTACATGCAAGCAGGATTTCAAAAAGTCAGAGACACTTGAAATCATATCACAAATATGCATTGGCTGCAGGAGCACACTGAAGAATTTCAGATCAGCCTATGCTTTATGGTCTACAAAGAAAGGCCTTTGTGGATTGCCAGAAGCGATGGATGGCCCTGGAAAAAAAATGGAGGTGCCTCAGCACTTGACCATCCTGGTGCATAACCTGTAAGTGGACATAAAGATAGTGATAGGACAGAATATGGAGAAACAGAATGGTTCCTTACAGGAAGAAGCTTCAGACAAGTGTATATTTTATCTCCCTATGCATTCAACCTGTACGCAGAACACAATAAAGAAATATGGACTAGGATTAGAAAACAGAATGAAAACAGGAAAGATTGATAATTTAAGATATGGAGATCATACAATATTACTGGCAGAAAAGGAGGCAAGAGTGAAATGATTGCAGCTGTACATTGAGAAAACAACCCTCAAGACTACAGAAGGATTTCACAGCTTTAATGGCAGCAATGAATTGAAATTATGAAGAATTTTGCATACCTTGGCTCATCATCAATTCAAAGGGAGAGTGCAGCCAAGAAATCAGAAGACTGAGACTGGGAAGGGCAGCAATAAAAGAACTAGAAAAGATAATCAAATGTAAAGATGTTTCACTGGAGACCAAGGCCAAGATCATCTATATGATTCCATCACAAAGCACTGTGTATAGATATGAAAACTGGATAGTGAAGATGACTAATAGGAAGAAAACTGATGCATTTGACAATTGGTGCTGGAAGAACATTTAGTGAATACTACACCCAAGACTGACACAAAGCTGTAAGTCCTAGATCAAAACAAACCAGAACTTTACCTGGAAGCAAAAATGAGGCTGTTGTACTTTGGGCACATCATAAGAAAGCAAAACTCACTGAGAAGGCAGTAACACCAGGGAAATCAGAGGCAGCAGCAGAAAGGTAAATGAACTATCAAATGGATTGATTCCATAAAGGGAGCCACCACTTTGAGTTTAACGAGAGCTGAGCAGGTCTGTGAAGGACAGGGTACGTTGGAAGGCATTCATTCACAAAGTAGCCAATAACTCGAAGAAAACTTGATGGCAATGTAGCAATGAAAATGGTGTTTTTACTAATTCAGATCAGAGAATCTCCTCCTTGTGCCATATTGCTGATATACCTCCCTCATAGATCCCTAGCTTAAACCTACAGTACAAATTGATTCGCTCATTACCTCTTGAGTAATGATGGCAGCTAAAAAACTGAGGACAGAATTCAATGGCAGACTAGGCCACCGCTGATTCTTTTGCATCAAGCTGATTCTTTTGCACAAGCAGTAGGTCCCACTGATTCCACTCCAAAAGCTGAACTTGCCACTTGCATAACAGTGTTTTCCACTGAGAAACAAGAGAAGATGGTAATTTCCTGACTAGGAAAGGTTGGCAGAGCTGCCTTACGTGAGGGCTGCTGACCCGCCCTTTTCCAGAAAAAAGTATTTTGGTCATTTAACCTTTACCCTGGAAGCACTCAATCCTACTTCCTCAAGCAGTGGATCCTGTCTGCAGATGAGTATTGCCAGGGCATAGATGGCACATCAGAGTCCAATCTAAGAGCACTCAGATCCATCCTTGTTCTCACATGTGCCCCTCAAACATAATGTCAGGGGAAAGAACACTAGATCACTTTTTAAAATCAATTTTATTTCTAAAATGCTTGTAGGTTTTCATCTGAAACCCAAATACAATCCAAATTAACACATTTGCACAGAAAAAAGACTTCCTAAGCTTCAATTAAAAATAAGGCAGACAAAAGTAGATGTTGATAGTAACTGTAATTTTCTAATGGGCCTATGCAAGCTTTGGGTGAGGCCATTTTAAAAGAAATGAAAAGCAAAAACAAAACAAAAGATTAAAATCTTTCCTCAGCTGAAAATTGCATTTATTCCCCCACCCATCCAAAAAAGAGGAAATGGGCTAAATTAGGAGATCAGCAAGAAACTGCTGTGATAAAATGCTAATATAAGCAAAGTGTACCTTCAATGAGCTTTTAAAAGAACCATGATTGAAAATTATATATTTGGATATACAGAAAAAAATAACCTTTCACAAATGCCATTTCTGTCACCAGAAAAAGAAAGAACTCAACAGCTTTCTTGTGTTTCTCAACAGAACAAGACATTTCACAGAAATAATAAATCATTTATTAAAAATAAAGCTAACACTTCAATCCCTCTTAAATATAGGTAAATAGTAAGATATAGTTTGGTCAGACTTTAGAAAAAAGGGAATATGATACATTGCTTTTCCATTGAGAGCAAGCCTCTGGTACATCCCCCCTAATTAACATAGTCATTATTTGAGCCCATTTTGATTGCAGAGATAAACAGGATATACTTAATCATTAATTCTCAGCGCTATGATTTTTTATTTTATGATAAACAGGACTTTTGTTGTGAGAACAAATAATCTCTCATTTGTTGCCTGAAATCCCAAAACAGGATCATGGGTTTCCAGAGTTGCTACCAACTGCTTAGCAACCTGCCCTACTTGTCTTCCCTCCTTTCTGTTGTAGAGAACTGTAGACAGGGGAGTTGGTTGTCGATAGATGAACACTCGCCGCAGGCATTCACAAAGGGCAGAATATGAATGATCTGGAGCACAAGCCATGAATTTCTTGTCCCGCTTTGATGCTTGTACATAACCTGAAACACACATGGGCAATCAAAGGCAGAGCTCAGGAAAGAGGGTCTTTCTTGCAAAGTCTGAGCAACAATGGAAGCAGTTTAAACAATTTTGGAACAGATTATGATTGGCAATGCTTTTTCTGTTCATAGAACAGGAGGTGTTGGTATAATTTGGCTGCTTGGTATGCTGTTGATATATTTTCCTTTGGAAATTATGCCTGCTGAACTCTGTCTCCGATGGTAGTTTGCATGGTTTGATTAAAAAAAAAATCAATGAGCTTTTGCTTTTAAAGTAGAAAATATGAACAACTGGTAAGGCCTTCATCTGGATTCAGGACTTTGTAAAGATTTTCTATGTCTATCCTCAAGGATAGACTACATTCTTCACTTGTGGTTGCTTTTTCAGACTGTACAGAACCAAAGCTTCAAAGAACTGTCCAACAAGAACAATGTGCCAGGATCATACATCTGAAAAACAAGGGCTTGTGCCAGCTAATGCACTAATTCTGGACCCTACTGAAGCAACCATACTATCAAAAGCAATTGTGTTTGTGGATTCTACCAACTGCAATAGCTACATGGTGTTTTTCCCCCAAAAAGCTGTCCAGGAGAAAAGCACAGGGGTAAATTCATTACAAAATTGTTTTCCACCAAACAATAGAAATATAGAACATAGAAACAGAGCAAGTCAGAAGGGTCTCCCAGGCCATCTAGTCTGACCCCTGGCTCCAGCCGCCTCTGCTCATGACATGCCTACAGTGGACCTGTCTGGTGGTTAGCCTGGAGAGATTTGAGTTGGATTTTATATTTTCAGAAATCTACCATTGCCTGACTTTTTTTTTAACCAAATGATCCAAGGAGGACTGAAACCATCACATCACCTGAAGGTATGCAGCCCTTCCAGTATCGTATATTAACTCACTATAAGAATGACCATGCAAACATGTTGGCTATAAGATCTTATCAGTCCCTTCCCCACCCCCACTTTTTGTAGCATCTTACCTGATAAATGCACCTTGTGTATGTTTTGTGACCTTGCAGTTGGCTTAATAAAGGTATTGCATTATACTGATCTTGAAATTCACCCACAATGACACTGTGGTTGAAAACACTTAAAAGATGGTGGTCTTGGAAAAAGAAATGTAATGGAAGGGTACTACAGTACAGTGACTAGATGACTGAAATAAGAATGACAGAAAAACACTAGTTTCAAGGTCATTTCTGATAGACACAGAATATTCATATTCCAATAAGCATGAATTGGCCTGATACACCAAGAAACCTGTGAAAATTTAGAACCAGTCTGAACTTGTCAAGGTAGCTCTACCAAGGTGCTGAAATCAAAATCACATGCTAATTGGGATCCAAAGAACTGTGCAACCACATCTGAGCGGGCTCCAGACTCAGACTTGACTTTCTGGACCAGCAAACTCCCAACCAATATGCAAGCAGCCCAAAAGGCTCCTTGGGAAACAAAACAACCCAATGCTCCCAGCTCAAGGACAAGTTCTTTTGGCACACCTAACTCAGCACTTGGTAGCCTTGCTATTTATGCAGAAGCATAAAATACTTGCACATCTGAAAAACCTTACAAGTTCAGAAATCCAGAAATAAACTGTTGGGCAGTATCCTGTGTTGTGCTTTTGCTGTTTTCTCTGCACAAGTGAAAGTGAATGATTTCCACAACGGGGAATTTGCAATTGTAAATGTAACTATTCTGAGAATTCCACTGAACTGCCCATTTCTGGAAGTATTTCTGCTTTTTTCCAGTTGCCCCTACTGGTGAACAGGCACAATAGGATGCTGCCATACAAGTTTTAACCTGCTGCAAAAACCGCAGGATGATTCAGGAGTACATGCTTTAGAAAGTCTCATTTGTTTCAACAATTAAGAATGAAAAATAACACTTGATCTGCCAACTAAAAGAAGGGACTACCATCATTCTTCAGTTGATTCAAGCCTGACTCTTCTATGTGAATTCTGTGGCAAGTTTTCCATGAAATTTGATATGCCTTTTCTAACCTTTGGGCCCACAATATTCACTTTGCCAGGAGCAGCTTCAGTGGAATGCACTCAGATTAGTACAAAATAAACATGCCCAGAGCATCTCATAGATTTCTTCTAGAAGATTTAACTTGGAGTTTATCTTGAACTGTGGTCTGAAATAGATTATACCTACAGGGATGCTTCATTTATCTGTCTCCTTTCTAAGGCTCTGCACAAGCTTTCATCCATAAGATAAAACTTGGTCCTGAAGAAAAATAGGCTTAATTTTATTAGTTATTTGCCTAAAATAACCTTTCCAGGAAAAATAGTACAATATTTAATGGTTTTGAGATCTGCAATCATCAACCATGTTTTAGCAACAAATCTCTGCTATAATTGAGACCAGAGACCACATGAACATAACAGTTTGTGACAGTATGAAAAGAAGTGCTACACAGGCTTTCTTCCATACCTAATGCATTGAAAGTAGAAATATGCTCCCACTTATCCTGTTGATCCGGACGTGGTTGCCAAAGAAGAGCATCAACATCATGTCGTAAGCAGAAGCATGGCATTTCCTTGGGATCCACCACAGTTGAAAAGAGATATTGATTGCTTCCCAGATTTACCTACAGATTTACACACACACATAAAAGGCAATAATTTTAGTAGAAATTCAGCATATAAGGTTTTATTACATGTACTACTAACAGTAAAATTTCAGCTTAGAAAAAACACATTACGACAATTGTTCAAATTCTGGACCTCTAATCTATGTATGGAGTATTAGGAATCTTCTTTGAGTTGTCTCTGAAAGCTGGATGATTTACACTTAAAAATGTTTTAGTGCAATGTTAAGATGCAAGACTACCTCCTTGTGTTTTAATGCAACATTAGTGCATCCTTATGGCTCTGCACATATCCAAATCCTTTGCTGGTCAGCCTGTGTTGCCTACTGGCTTCTATATTCAACTAGAGCAGTGGTGGCAAACCTATGGCATGCATGTCACAGCGCACACACAGAGCCCTCTCTGTCAGCATGTGAGCCAAGTCACCCCAGAATCACCCCAGCAGCAGAGCATGAGATAACAGTGCACATAGGGGCCATGCACATGCTCAGAAAGGGGAAGCGGCACCAGGCAATGACATCATGAGCTGCGACTCATTAGCCGGGACTCATCCGAGCTTTTGCATGGCCGGTCAGTGCGCTGCCAAGGATATATATAGTTGCTTGGACTGGCTGTGGGTTGTTTTTTCTAAACTAAAATTGCAGTTTTCAGGTTTTACTGCAGTGTTGGCACTTTGTGATAAATAAGTGGGTTGTGGGTTGCAATTTGGGCACTTGGTCTCTAAAAGGTTAGCCATCACTGAACCAGAGCGTGGAAGACCAAGGTTCAAATCCCTACCTGGTCATGAAGTTGCTGGGTGATCAAAAGCAGACTGCTATTTCTCAGTGTGCCCAACCTCACTGAATTGTCCTGAGTATGCATATCCCTGAAAATCTTGGAGGGACGGAGGGTTTTTTTTTTAAATAAATCAAATGAATAGATGCTAACATTCATTAACCCACATTCACTAATGTATGTTGCGTGTAAAACTTAGGGGTGGGTTTGTTTTGTTCTTTGTGTAAAATCTGGATGGTGTATTAGTCAAGTGGAAGTGAAATTGTTGCTTACACTGTGTGAAACTGAAAGATCATAGTATCTTCCTTTAAAAATGGAACCATACCCACCTACATATGTACAAATGTCATTAACATATCACACAATCTGCTGTGTAAGTGTAATAGCAGGAATACAATGGTAAATGCTACTTTGAATAGAAGGCTTTTTGTTATTTATTTATTTATTTATTTATTAAAACATTTTTATGCCGCCCCATTCGCCGAAGCCTCGGGGCGGCTTACAACATAGATAAAACAAGTTAAAATCCATATAAAATAATCTTGATTAAAACTCACATTATAAAATAAGCCGCCCTGGCCAGATAAAATTCAATTGTATTTAGCATTTAA